CACAACATCATTTAGAATAAAAAATAACTAGTTCCAGACTTGCCTTTGTATTACTCTGTAAAACGAAGGTATTTTTGTTTTGTAAAAGGAGATAATTAGGTTACTAAACATGTCAGGCTCTCAATTCACTATGCTAAGTTACAGCGGTGTATGGCAATATAATTTCTTAAAATAATTCCTTTGAAAATTTTAATATCCAACAATTAATCGGGAAGTACTTTTTCCAACTGAAGAAAAAAATCTTAATATAAAGATTTTATGTAATATACTACTTCAGGGTGACACAAATCTATAGAAAAACAATACCAAATATTAACTGTTTGGGAAATAGTTTATCAAAAGAATTGGTAAAAGGAAAAACCTAGCATCTGTTAAGCATATTTGAGATGACAATTATCCTCCCAAAACAAAATCTTTTACTCATGGCAACCATGGTGGGAAGAATTTTGAGATGGCCCCAGTATTTCTGTTCCTGCTGTACACATCCCATATAATCTCTCTTGAATGTGGGTGGACCTGTGAATAAGATGGATGTCACCCCTACGATTAGGTTATATTGTGTGACAAAGTTGATGGGATTTTACAGATGCAACTGAGTTGATGACTTTGAGTTCATCAAAAGGCAAATTATCCTGGAGCCAGACATATCAAGCAACCTCTTCAAAGAAACGGGGCCTTCTTGAAAGAAGAGGTTTAAATTGAGAGATCCAACTGCTGGCCTTGGAGAAGCGAGCAGACACGCTGTGAACTGCCCAAGGAGATGACACTTGGCAAGGCCCTGAAGGTAGCCTCTTGGGTGGTCAGTCCCTGGCTGATAGCTAGCAAGGAGATAGGGGTCACAGTCTCATAGCCCCAAGGAACTGAATTCTGCCAACAACCACATGAGCTGGGAAGAGGACCCCAAGTTTCACATGAGACCACAGCCTTGACTGACCCCTTGACTTCTGCCTTGTAAGACCATGAGCTGTGAACCTGGCCATACTGTGGCCAGACGTCTGACCTGCAAAACTGTTAGAAAATAAACAGGTGCTGTTTTAAGCTATTAAGTATGTTGTTAACTTCTTATGCAGCAACAGAAAATCAGCACAGGCAAGAACACTCCAGCCACGGTGCAACATTAGAGGGATTCCCCCAATATGTAAAGATACATTTATTTCTTATTTATGTTCTTTTTCTTTGAGACAGGGTCTCACCATGTTGCCCAGGCTGGTCTCAAAGTCCCAGGGTCACGTAATCGTCCTGCCTCAACCTCCAGAGTAGCTGGTGAGCTTATTCTGTGTCAAGTAAGTGCTTATGTTAAGTAATCTTCCACGAGCCATATCAAAGAGGTAATATTATTCCCAATTTATAGATGAGTAAATAGGCTCAAAAAGGTTAAATTACATGTCTAAAGTATTTCTCAAGTACCTACTCTATTCCAGATGTTAGAGATACAATGTTAAATAAGACAGTTCCCTCGATCAAGGAGCTTGATGAAAATAAAGCAGAGTAATGAGAGAGAGAGAGATGGATGAGGAGAAGGGTCATTTTAAAGCAGAATGGTCAGAGAAGGCCTGAGCAGATAATATTTGTGCAGAGTGACATAAAGAGCAATCCTAAAGAAGAGTTAGGAACAGCATGTTTCTAGGCAGAGAGAACAGCAAGGGTAAAGGCAGAAAACATGCAGCTGCTTCTAAAAACAGAAGGAAGGCCAGTGTGGAAGGAGTGAAGTGAAC